CAGGCTGGTTTTGAACTCCTGACCTCGAGCAATCCGCCCGCCTCGGCCTGCCAGAGTGCTAGGATTACAGGCGTGAGCCACCGGGCCGGCCACGACCTTTTTTCACACTGGCTGCCTGACATGTTCTCAAAAAACACGCCGCCGCCGCTGAGGAGACTGAGGAGAAAATTCCCGCTCAGTCACAAGGGACGTGCAGTCGGACCAGAGGGGAACCTCGTATGTTTTTTTCTTCCGGGGACCTGCCGCAAAGTTTGTCTTTGAAAGACGCCACCGGTCTAGTCAGAACCACGAAACCGGCTCGGCCGCCGGGCAGGCGCTCCACGAGCGGCTTGCAGGGGTTCCCGCCCGTGTTCTGCCCTGTGGTGACCCTCTTCGTGACAGGACGACACAGAAAGACAATGACAAAAGAAAGCAGCAACAACAACAACAAAAGGCTATTTTTGAGAGAAGAGGGATCAGACAATATGAATATTCATACCACAAAATACCAAAAAATATACCACAGTCGCTATACCCAGACTGGCCCCAGGCAAAAATTTTTCCCTCATCAATCTTAAATTTGGAAAGGCAAAAGAGACAATGATCTTTACCATCTGCTCCACCGGAGCCCACCGAGAGACGGAGGAAAGCCAGGAGTCTGACAGGTAAGTTAAGGTATTTTCCCGTGTCCCGCTGGGAGAGTCCAGATTCTCTCCACACTGCGGCTCTCAAAACAGCAGAGAGGCTTGGAAGCTCCTGCTGGCTACCCAAATTGTGGGGGTGAAGGGAAACTTCCCCTTTCCCTCCCAGAAGTTGCCTGAAGGGTCAACTCAACTCGCCTTGAAGTAGATTGAGAAGAGAGAAATTTATCGCCTATGCGCCTGCGCGCGAGGGGAATCCCAACAGTGATTACCCGAGATCCCACTGTCGGGGACATTCCTATAGAAAGCCTTCAAAAAATACCAATACCTATTTCGAGGAGTCAGACTTCAAGATATGATTATTATTTCTTGAGCCCTTAGTAGGGTGCACCATAGAAATAACAGAAATACGTAAAATACACAGAGTACTCAAAAAAAAAAAAAAAAAAGCCCTGTAACTCCTATAAATGCTGTCTGGCCCACCTAAAAGAGAGTCAAGATTCTTTCCTTGAAACAGTATATTTTATTGGAACTAGCTCCCCCACTTTTTGAACTTAAATGTTTGAGAACTGAAAATATATCAACATGGATAAAGTTTGCCAGAGTGATCTTATAGTACGAAAGCCAGAGAATTGAGAAATTATTTTGTACTTGAAAGAAAAATAGCAGGAAGTATTTAGTACATTCTAAAACTTAAATATGAAGAACTGTAAACCATTCTTTGATAAGAGAGGTAATCACAGTTTCATAAAAATAAATAAAAATGTTTGTTTCCTCCATAAAGAGCTGGGACTGCACTGATTCATATACTCTCCTGTACTTTTGTTGAAGTAGAAATGGTGTTGGAGATTTCACCATTTCAAAAACAATTGCCTGTTTGAAGAGTCTTCACTGACTTATATCTGAATTAGCATTACAATGTAACAGATATCTATCTATCTATCTATAAAACATTGCTTTTTCCTCTGTCACTGAAATGTCCTAGAGGCAATGGCATCTCAGATAGGACCAACCTAATATATACAGCCCAGATTATAGTTCCTAAAATTAATTTTTCCATGATATGGAACAAGGTTTTTTTGGAAGGTTTTTTTCCAGATCTGGGAAAGGAAGGTACAAGAGAATTTGAAAATTCTTATCTAAAACGCCACAGTTTCATTCAAGGGTTAATGGAATCAAATCAAAGGACACAGGAACCAGATTATAGGTGTTTGTGATATTATGAGCACTTTTATGAAACTGCACTCAAATCATGGGGATTTTATTTGTGTCCAGATCTATTACTGCCAGGAACAAAGCCTGTAATTTAGCTCAGTTGGCTGCCGACCTGGCCTATTCTTCTTCCATGAAGAATTTACTATCTGTTGGACATAGAAAAGTGCTTTCCATATTGAGCCATGCCACTCTATTGTGGAACTATCACCTGTGAACCAGGCCCATTGCCATGTATCCTTGGGGCAATGGGTAGAAAGGTGAAGTCTGCAAGTAACACAAGTGGCCAAGTCTTCATATAGCATTTTAGAAAGTCATAGGGGAAAATAAGCCACTTGCACATGAATACATTTAATCCCACTGTGCAATATCATAACAAAATGCTTCTGTAATATTATTTCTATTTTATGATGAACCTTCTATGATCATTTTCCTCCATGTTGTGATGCTTTTTTGACATTATTCATGACATAAGGGGTAATTTAGGAGTTAATATAATTTTATGTCCTTCAGTTATTGGGGCTGTCTCAGTAAATGCCCAATGACTAGTAATTGTCTTTAAAATAAATATACCAGAGGACAGTTAGGTTCTTTGGTTATTAGGTTATTTTCTATTAGGTTATTTAGGTTATTAGGATATTTTCTATTAGGTTATTTAGGTTATTAGGTTATTTTCTATTCCAAAAACACAGATATCACTGTTGACCATGGTTACAAGCTCTTGTCAGAGACTTGAGTTAGCATGAGTGCATGTGGCTGACACTTTGAGTAACATTTCAGCATTGTCACCATATGGCCCAGGACAGCATAAACTACAGGTTCCAGGAAGGCTTTTTGCTTATTTTGTTCAAGCTTCCAATAAAATAAGGACTTTTTCCAGGTATTTTAATGGAGTAGGCCCAGTAAGTGCCTAAGTGAAGGGTAAGATTTTTCTAAAATCCAAATAGGTCTACAAGGCATTAGACCTCTCACTTAGTCTGAGGGGAAGGGAGCAAGAACATTTATTCCTAGTGGTCTGCAGTGTCTCATAGGGCACTCCAACCCATGGAATCATTACCAATTTTACAGTCTGGGCAGGGTCTTGGATTTTTTTTTCAGGGTTCATTAACCATCCTCAATCAGATCCCCAATAAAATATATGATCAAAGTTGCTTTTAGCTTGATTCTCAGTTTCAGAGATAATCATAGGATCATCAATATAGTGCAACAGGATACTGTATTATCTGTAGATATAGTAGCTACATTGAAAAATAAAAAAACAGTTCAGATTCAGTCTAATATATTTTATTAATCCATTACATCTAAAATATTATCATTTCAAGATATAAGAAAATATTGAGACATTTTATACATTTTACTATATTTTCAAAATTTAGTGTGTATTTTATGTTTACAGTACAGTACATCTCATTACAGCCTCTAAAATTCCATCAGAAATACTTAATCAGTATTTAGATTTCATAATATTTATTGACTCTGCTTAAAAGTTTTACAATAACCAAAGGGTTAGTTTTTAAGTGTACTAAAACTAAATAAATATTCAGTTACTTCATTACACTAGCCATATTTTAAGAACTCAACAGCTACAGGTATAGGTCAAGAGTGGATTTTGTTTTTCTTCACATGCTAATTTAAGCTGTAATGAAAATTCTAAAAGAAATTATTTTATTTTACATGCTGTGGAAGACAGAGAATTTTGAAATAGATGACAATGAAAAACAAAATTGATGGGTCAGAGACCTTGCCATGAAAGTAGGAAAGCTTTTGCATAAGAGTATCAAGTCTAGGCACCAAATATAAAGCTGTCCTGCTACCGCTGATAGAACATTCCCATGACCTTAATATTCCTCTAATTATTTAGCCTATTTTGTTTTCCATTCAAAAAGTATTTGAATTTGTAGAGAGCCTAAACTGGATACCGTGCTATGTGCACAAAAGGGGTGAAATCTAGGGTTTACCCTCAATCAGAATGTAATTAAAGCTTCTAGTCACTATGCATAACAATATTTTGTAGGATTTCTGCCTGTTGGAATTTTGAATCAAAGGTGAACCAGCTGACATCATAATCCACTTCTGAAGTTCTCATTCGACTTCAAGAATTGGTTTAATCTAAATCCTCTGGTACCTTATGGCCTACAAAAATGTCACCTACGTCAAGTGCAGTGACTGCTGCAGGCACAGTCATACAAAAACAAACTGTTCTTAAACATCACTGTCATATAGGAAAAAGAAGTAGCAATGCAAATATTTTATATTATTTTATTTAGCCACCAAATAATCAGAAAACAGTCATCAAAAAATAACTATGCCGACCAGCCTTGGTGGCTCACGCCTGTAATCCCAGCACTTTGGGAGGCCCAAGCGGGAGGATCACTTGAGATCTGGAGCTTGAGACCTGCTCCCTACAAAAACAAGTAAATCACTAATTAGCCAGCGGGAAAGCATGTGCCTGTTGTCCCAGCTATTCTGCAGGCTGAGGCACCAGGATCACTGGAGCCAGGAGTCTGAGGTTGCAGTGAGCTATGGAAACACCACTGCACTCCAGCCCAGGCAACAGAGCAAGACCCCGTCTCAAAACAAACCACGAACCAACAAAATAATCTCCTTATACTTAACTTCATTTTTTCAGGCTTCAAGAGAAAGTTTTAAAGAGAGACTCCTTCAGTTGGCAAAAAAAAAAAAAAAAAAAAAATGCATTCAAGGAGCTTATTGCTGTAAGAGAGGTGCCCTGTTTTGTAAAATTTCAAATAAGATTCCAAATACATTTTGGCAATATGTGGAGCGTCGCATAGCTCAACAATCCATAACCTTCCACTTTTCACCCACTGCTAACACATGACTCTCTCCGTGAATCTGACCCATCATTCAAACTCACAGGTGCGTTCACTGCACAGGTGTAGCAAGCAAATGATCTGCCAAAATTCAAAATTCAACCTTGAAGAGCGTTTTCGGAATCTACCTCCCCTTCAGTACTAAATTCAACCGGTATTTGGCTTCTTTCAAACGCCCCCCAAAGCACACACACCGCTCCGCCCCCAAATGAAAGCTCCCAAGACGCGGTTCCCACGCTCCCTGAGACCACCGAGGTTCGCAAAGGATTCGTGGAACGCGACTGCGCATGCGCTGCCTTTTCGCGCATGCGTCGCAACCCCCGCGCATGCGCAGAGGCAGAGGCCGGAGAAGTATGAGAGGGTAACTGAGGCCGACCTGCCCCGCCCCCGCTCTCAGCGCGGAGCTTCTCTGCCGCGCTGGGTCGGCCTCCGCTTCCCTTTCCGGGCGGAGAGGCGGCAGGCGCTGGTGTTTCTTTCTCTTCCCTACGCGGAGTCGCCTTCTGGAGCTTCCCATGGCGAGCGTGGCAGCTCGGATGAGCCGGGCCGCCCTGCAGCTCTGCGCCACAGGTAATGGGCGCGCGGAGGCAATTCCGACGGCGCGCGGGGACCCGGCCCTGAAGTGGGGGCCGGGATGGAAGCAGGCCCGGGGCCTGGGGTAACCGGCCAGGGATGGAGCGAGGCCTGTGGGGTCCGCGGAAATACTCACCTGGTCTCTTCCTGCCGGACCTGCCGCGCCGTCCTGCAGCGACCTGACTTAACGGACGCTTTCGAGTCCTTCCCTGACCTAGGCTTTGCTGGATACCCTGTACCAGACGTGGAAAAGATGTGGCTGCCTTCTGTTTGGTTATTTTCTTATGGCAGGAAGTTTCAGTAGCGCTTACTCCATTGATAGGCGAGGATGGCACCATCCTAACTTAGTGCTAAATGTTGCCTTGGCTTTAGGTTCCGAGTCCTGTCACATTTGAAGGATTTTTACCACCGGGGCTAAGCGAGGTCTGGTCAAGGACAGATCATGGCTAGACTGCCCGGGATTGTGCATTGTGAAAAGTGACCTGAGTATGTGTCAGCCTTTCTCGGCCTCCTGTCAGCATGGGGTACTCTGGTTCTCATTGTGGTTTACTCACTTACTCAGCAACCTTTGGGAGCCCACTGTGAGCTAGACACTGTTCTGCAAATAGTGTTAGAATTGTAGCTCGACTTTCTATCTTTTCTTTCTTTCTTTTCTTATTTTTCCACCTATTTAGGAGAAAAAAAAACTAATATTAGTAGCATTTTGAATGGCATTTGGAGCTTTTACGGAAGAGGTAATTCTTACTAGAGAAACAAATATAGGGAAGTCATTTCTATCTCTATTCCAAAAAAGATAGAATGTTAAAAAGGAAGAATAGATGAGAGTGAGAATGTGTAGAAAAAGGAACCCTGTGTATTTTATTTATTAACGTACATAGAACTTGCCAGTCATGGTATAGTTGCAGGCAGAGTATTCATTCAACGAATGAACTGCTTATACTTTTGCATCACTTGTACCGTGGGATGGATCGATGATTAATTTTTGAGTAAGAAATCAAAAGTACTTTGTAGGTGACTAAATATCTAGTACAGGACAAATGATAAGTCCACATTTATTGCCTACATTTGTCTTCTCTTTTTTTCCAGTTCTTTTACTTGATGTGGCCCTCTGTAAAGGATTTGTAGAAGATTTAGATGAATCGTGAGTATATATTTTAAATAATTTTTTTAAAATATTAAGTTAAAGTTAAAAGTTAAACTTTTAAAAAATCAGATTTTAAAAAACTTTTAAAATTATTTAACCTTGTATTTGTTGTATCTTTTTCCTTTAATTATACTGAGTGCTAGAATTCAATAACCACACTATATTTACCTTTGTAGTATTAGATGATTAATCACAAGGACTTGCTTACGATAGGTGAGGAGTCCAGGTGCGGAGTCCAGCTCCAGACCAAAATCCTATGTGTGATCTTTCAGGCATTACCGTGGGGAATTACAAGGCCTTTCCTGGCAGGCCACAGGGGGGAAGGTGCCCTCCCCACACCAAACTTGGTGCACAACTAGTTCATTGCAGTCTCTGGAGAGAGTTGTTGTCAAGGACTCAGGACTCCCAGGCCAGCCATGCTAATATGTATATTTGCACTCCTAGCCCAGTGGCATCTATTTGGAGGCCTCCTTGTTGGAGCCTCATGCAGGGCATTTCCCAAGGCCAAAACATCCTTATTGAGGGCCTCAGGTGAGGCTCTTTTCCACTCCTAGTCCTTTTTCCTCTTGTCCCCCTCATAAAGAGGCAGAAGGCTTTTTGTTTACTGTTCCTCTGCAGTGGGATGAATTCTTCTGTTAGTACTTCATCCACCTGGCCCTAGCCTGGTACTGTTTCATGGGGAACAATGGAACACTGAGGAGCTGGTGCCTCTTTTGTGCCTCTTGGCTTGCACTGTCACAAGTGGGAAAAGGCTTGATTGTTACTTATAGTGTAGCTGATTATTTTAATTGACCACCTGGATACCTTAATTGACCACCTGGATACCTGACTAAATTGGGACAGTGAGAGGATAATTGGTTGAATACAGTGTTGTTCTAGAAGAGCAAAAAGCCTGACCCTGGCTGCCCCATGGAAGCACTTAGCCATTCTTACTAATGGGTCTTGTAGAGTGCTAGTGGTCTGTTTACAGAAACTTTGATTCTGAGGGAACCGTTGTTAACAAGGGGCAGTCTTGCTAAACTTCATGGTGCCTGTGGGTGCATCACTACAGACCACCTCCTTCGGTGTGCCCTAAGAGTGGCAACTCTGCCTGAGGACGAGGAAGGGGTTTTGATCCTAATAATTGTTCTGTTACTCACGTGGATGCTCACTGAAAAGGACCTACACTAACAAAGGGTCCTTACCATGCTTGTCAGCTAAATGTGGAAACTGAATTGTTCCTACTCTAGTGCTAGCAGATATAACACAATTGCCTCTTGAATCCACAAGAGAGATGGCCCATGGAAATTCAAGACATAATCCTACACTGGGGAAGAACACATGGACTTGCCACAGTTGTGAGAAGACACCAAAACAGCTTGAAAAAGCTTTCCTGCTTGTCGGATCCCGATTAAGACTAAAAATACTGCCTAGAAACAGATCTGTCAAGCCAATGGGCCCTTTATCCAGTCTGTAGTGTTTCTTTTCATCCTGTCTGCAGTTGACATGTCTCTGGGTTAGCTTAGCTATCTTCCTGTGTTTACTGACTTGGCCCACACTTTACAGGACCATCCTTGTTTCCTATTCAGGTACCCCGAGAACATTGCATCTGAAAAATGGCCCTGGATATTTGGCCCAAGCTACACATCAATGGGCTCAATCATGGGGCATACAATGGACTTTCCATTATCATCCCTAATTCACAGGGTTGGTTGAATATTTTAATAGAGTTAAAGGACAAACCTAAACTGACTGATGGTGGGATAGAAGATTACCCCAGCCTAGATTACACATTTCAGGCAAACGATCTGGGATCTCAATGCAGCACATTTCCCAGTTGGGTACTTTTCACAAACATTTAATGAACGTGGACCATCATTACCAGGAAATGGTGGGAAACCTTCTATAATTCAAGGTCACAGATGCCAACCAAGGACAATCTTAGAAATGGGTCTTTCTAATCATAGCAGCCTCAGGCCTGCTATGTTAACTTTTCTGCATAGGTGTAAAATAGAAGTGTGAGGGCGTATATTTGTGTTTCTACTACGTCCTACTTAAATCTTTTTGTTGATTTCCTTACTGCAGTTATCTTTGACCAAGTAATTAGATTTTATTGTTAAGATGTTTAGTGGATGAAATATGCTTTAGAGATCACTGAACAAAAATTTTACATACAAATTTATAGAAAGTATTTGCTTCATGCTCCCTTATTTATCAGTTTATTATCCCTACCTTCCTAACGAATCGTAAAGTGGATATAACATACAAAGATTTATTTTCTTTTTGTTTCTTTAGGTTTAAAGATAATCGAAAAGATGACATTTGGCTTGTAGATGTGAGTATGTAAATCTTTTATGCTAATTACCCACTCTTACCATTTTAAGTATTATTTTCTATTCATTTAAAGACTGGCAAGAATAC